ATCCTTCATGAAGCCATGTTGGTTACTACTTGATACCAGTTTTATTTGCAAATTCCTGCATGCAGTAGTATCATGCCTTTGAATATTTTGCACACTATTGACGTTAACTGGCCTATAGTTACCCGGTGTACTCCGTTTCCCCAGTCATTAGTGTCCATAAAGATTATGTACAGTGCTTTGCTCATGACCTGGCTAAGCTCCTTGAGTACCCGCGGATGTAACCCATCAGGTCTTGGGGATTTGTGTACATTTAATCTTTCTGGCCTCTTTACTACTCAGCTCTCCAACACTCACTGAGATACGTTATAACTTTTTTATTATTGTTCCTGCAGCTGTTGCCCATGTTCAACTCCTCTATATAAACAGCTTTCTCCCAGTCGCTGGTAGCTAGCCTCCCCTTTTGTCTATTATTAGGCCTACATGTTCTGTCTGTACCCTTTTGCTATTTATATATTTAAAGAATTTCTTGAGGGTCGGTTTGCTTTCTGATGCTATCTGCTCTTCATATTCGATTTTTGCAGCCAATTGTTCTTATACATTTTTTTGCCGCAATCCTTTCAGTTTTTGAATGCCGATACCGACTCCTCTGACTTATATTTTTTGAAGGCTTTGTCCATTTCCCTTGTGTGTTGTTTGACCTTGCTAATTACCTTGCATGTGTAGTAAATCGGATGATTGAAACTGAGACTTACAGTAACCAGCAGCGATCCAGAAATAGGATAGCTGTCATTAGGGACAACTTATTTACATTTTGGCGTCTCCAAAAAATATTTTTCTGGAGCTCTGCTTTAAAGATCCATTCGCACCACTGCACTGCACATTAACCCTTTCACAACCCATGACAGGATAATCCAGTCATGAATCCTGAAGGGGTTAAACAGACTCTCGGCGGCTTATACCTGCCGGCGACTCTATTCAGATTTGTAGAGCCGGCTTTACAGTAGAAGTGATTCTGGCGGCTCAGCTGCCACCAGATCGCTTTTACAATCCGGTAAAGTGGCTGCCCCCAACCCCCCCGTGTTTCCCTGGGCTCTGCTGCCCCTCCTATGCACCCGACATCACGGGTGTCGGTGGGAAACTGGGGGAGGAGATCGGTGCACGTCCGTTCTATGGGACCAGGAGCAATGCGGATTACATCACTTCTGGTCCCATAGCTGTCACTGCTGGGCTAAGCTATGGAAGTGTGATCTGCGCTTCAATAGCTTAGAGTGTAAAGGTGACACTGGGGGTCTTTTGGACCCCCAGCATCACCTTAAAGAGTACCTGTCACCACCAATATGCTATCACATGGGGGGGCATGTAAGTCCCCCTATGTGATGGCAATTAAAGTAAAGTTAAAAAGAAACATAGGTGTGCTGGTGACATTTATCATATATTTCAAGATGCATGGTGCCATTCATGGTTACTACAGCACCTTTTATACATAGGGGTTCCGGTAAGGAGTGCAGCAGTTCTTCTCCAAAGCTCAGTATATATCGCGAGCTACAGCGGTATATTGAAACCGCCGCAGCTGGGACGGATCCCGACATTACGGTCGAGATCCACCTAGCTGCGTGAGTGACAGCTGGCTCTGCCTATCTAGAGGCTGAGCCAGCTGTACCCATCTTCCAAATCAGTGCAGGGAGCCATGACTGTCAGTCACGGCTCTCTGCAGGGAGATGATGGAGAAGTGAGCGAGCTACGGTATGTGTTTGCTCACTTCCCAATCTATTGAGACGACGTGTGACAGTTTGATTGTGATTTTCACTCACCTCATAGTTCTCATTTAAGTGCATTTTTGGGTTTGCTAATAAGGTGCGCTGATGTCGTCCAACATAAAAATTTGCAGCTGCCACCATTTTATTCTATAGGGTCTTGGCTTTCAGAAAATATATAATGTTTGGGGATTTTAAGTAATTTTCAGGCCTAAAATGTGGAGGGGGTTAAATGTGTTGGTGCGGCACCATTAATTGTGCATAGCACCCAAATGCACTTCCAACATGCATGTGTGCTGCTGTCTTGAGCATTGCACTGTGATAAAATCCAGCCTGACCCATTTTTGTGTGCATTGTTGTCCATTTCAACCCATTTGAGTGGGCTGTTTACTGCAACACATGCATTGCATATGGAGGCTGAACAGGTTGTTTGCCCTGAAACATATTCCATTGGACTTACACATGACATTGGAGACTGCCTTAAGGTGCTCATACACCTTACAACATCGCAAGACTTTTGTCTTGCGGTGGTCGTAAGCTAATTAAAATCTTGTACGATATGCACATCTTGGACAGGCAGATCGTACTTGCGATCATCGAAAGCCTGCCCCGCCGAGGGGCGGGCTTCTGATGACCGCAATGCTGAAGGGCAGTGTGCGCGTGCGCACACCGGCCCGTTCCACGGTTGTCGAACGAGCACGTCACTAACCCGCCGACAATCGTACAATTCTCGGCGGGTTTTCTAGCATGCTCCTTCGTCAAAAGACGTGCGACCGTACAGTAGAAACGGTTGCACGCCTTCCATACACTGCACGATTATCATACGATCGCGGGATTTCACGCGATTCTCCTACGAGAATCGCGCAGTGTATGGGCACCTTTAGGAAGAGGCAATGGAAGGTGAACCACCAGCCCCAGCACAGCTGATCGGCTCACATAACTCTTCCCCAGCTGATTCTAGAATTGTCTCCCAGGGTTCAGGTTCCAGGAATACCTGCATTGAGTCACTCTTGTGTGATATGCAAATAGAAGTCTCCACTTGTGAGTGCATCTGATTTTATTTGAATACATTTATTAAACAAATGTCAGTGTGCTCTCCTCTTTAGGTGTTTTACATGCGTTGCAGGGCACAGCTTTGTGGTGTGAATGGGCCCCGAGTAAATGAAAAACCTTGTATTTTGGCTCCTGCTATGTATAAAGAAACCCCACAAATGAATACAACTCAACATACTTGAACGTAAAAGGATCATACACACAGCCCTGTGAAACTAATACACAGGATTTTGCTGGCAGCCAAATCTTGTATAAAAGTGCTCTGCACAAATGCAATGTTTAGGGCAGATTAACTATATTTTCTGGACCAGATCTGGTCTTGAAAATGGTGTGAACCTACCCACAATTCCAGACCAAACAAATTGAGACCAGCAGTATTTTTCTGGTCTGGAACAGACTGCGCTGGTGTGAACAGAGGCCAGAATTAGCATAGGGATATATTAGGATGCATGTTGGGTCCAGAAACAATCTGGTCTGGAGATGAACTGGATGTGGTGTGAATGGGACCTTGGAGTGCATGCACACCAAAATCGGAAAGGAAATCCCAAGTCAACGGAGAGTCAGTCCATTGACTTACAATTGTACCTTCTGATCCGTTTTTCAACAGATGCTAAGGGAACGCCACCGAAAAATGGGTGTGAATGGGGCTATTTCACACCGAATACTCGTTGCTCTGAAAAAAAGCAGTGCATGATCTACGTTTTTTTTAGCACAACATAATGTAATGGAGCAGTGTCAACTAGCCCCATTCACTATTCAGTGCCCTCACATTAGCCCACGTTTGAAAAACGTATTGCAGCAGATCAGGTTTGGATGGGCCCTCATGCGTCGACAGCATATAGGTGGCACAAGTCACTTGCATTCTAGCAACAGAGGACTACACACCTTGAGCTATGAAAATGCAATCAGCACTGGTGGAAATACCATGGTTGCAGAGGTCACATGTGCAACCAGGCCCCAGAGTTCTGCCACTTGTGGGGGGGCGCTCAGACATCTCAACTATCCCAGATGTTCCGGGAGTCTCCCGCTATTATCAGCTCCCTGATACCCGGGAGAGAAACATTTTCTCCTGGAAAGGTTTACTCCTAGCAGAGTAAACCTTTCCCTGCAGTGTTTTTTTTCCCACTGACATCGGGGCCGCCGGCACTCAAAAAAAGGGGGGGGCATATGAATGAATAGCTAGATTGCTATTTCAATAGCCAATAGCAGACTAGCTATTGCATCCACCCACTGCTGCTGTCAATCAGCAGAGGTGGACCTGAAGTTCTCCATCAAGTCCTCTGCAGCAGAGGGCAGGTGCAATAGCCAGCTTGCCATTGCAAATTGAAATAGCAATCTAGCTATTCATCTCGGGGTTTTTTTTTTGTATTCCGACAGCAACAGCTATCTGAACACTGGAAAAAAAAGTATTAGCTTCTTTGCTATCTGCCATCATTTCAGAGGGGTGCTCTCTTCCTTGTTGTTGGACCCCCCCTTGAGGGGGATCCCTGGGGAGCTGGAAAGGAAGAGGGCCCGGCTCCGGTAACCGCTCAGGCGCCAATATGGTCTCCGGGGAGGGGGGTCCTTCATTATTTTTTGCACCAGGTACCTGAGGTTCCCAGTCACGCCTCTGGGATTTACACTTATGTATACAGAGGACCAAAACATGCATACAGCCAAAGTACAGTCCCTACACAGGACCTCCGATTCTTACATTCTATGATTCTGAACACAACGCACAATCACTGTTCTTCACGCACTGTGTGTATGGGGCCAAAGAAAACAATAAAGCAGTACATGCATGAAGAAAATTACCAAAACGCAGTTTTGTTTTTAAGCAGGAGCCTAATGCATTCAGCGTGCATAAACGTGCGCCAAACGCATCTAGTATGAATCCAGCCTCGGCCAGCAGGTCATGGCGGGACACAAGGCCGCAGACTCTCAGGGGACCAGCCGGCTCATACATAGCCTATAGATTCTGAACGGACGTGCCATTCCCGGCTGTGTCACACGGAGGTGGCTGCCACTTCCGGGAGCACTACAAGTGCCACTCTGCCTTGTGCAACCAGGCACTCGCAGCCTCACACCGCCTAGCACCGGAAGAACTCCCCTCCCCCCCTGTGTGTCCTCTCCCTGCCTCACACCGCTATGGCTGCGCAGGCCGGACACCGCCGCTCATATCCCGGCCTGGCCGTCTACCGCGTCTGCGCATGCGTCTGACGTCCCGCCCTACGTCGGCGATCCAGCAAACAGAGATCAGCCAATGAAAGTGCGCCGAGAGAACGGGATTGAGCGCTGCCATTGGTGGGATGCAGCGGCCAGTCATCATCCGATCCTGCCCAGGTAAGTGAGCGGACCGGCGCTGCGTCGCTGCGGCCCCCGTTTCCTTTCCCCCCCTCCCCCCTCTCGGTTGGGTGTCTGTTCCCCGGCCCCAGTATGGTGGGGTGGACCTGTGTGCGGACGGGGCTGGCAGACACCCGCCTGTGGATACGCCCCGCAGAGTTGCCATGGACAGGCAATGGCATCTTTATTTTCCTGTGGCGTGTGTCCGTCTGTGTCATGAGGGCTGTAATTACAGGTGCCGCCACCATAGGGGCCCCGAGTGTGTGGTGGAGCCCGGGCCCCCAGACTTGTGTACAGGGGACATGTCCTCACACCTTTACCTCAGCTGTGCCTGTGTGCTGCCCAGGGAATGTTAAAGAGAGCCTCCAGACAGGACCTTGTTATAGTTTTGGGGGTAGGGTGAGACCCTCTGTCCAGGTTTATATTGTAGGTGTGCCCACCATTAGCAGAGCCACCCTTCTGTTTGTCCTGTTCCCCCCTCGTCACCCAGAGAGAAAACCATTTACAGTTGTCCCCACAGCCAGACATGAGGGAGGATCTTCCAGCAGGGGACACCTGTCTGAAAAGGGCACCTTGGAAGGTTCTCTCTAACTTCCTGCTGCATCTCTGATACAGGAAGTTAAGGGAAATCTTACCAAGGGGACACCGACAGCAAATATTAAAGCGTAACTTTTTCAAAAATACTCCCCTGGCAGTGCAAGGGTTAAATGCTCTAAGTGTAGGAATAAGGCCAATCATACACTTAGGGTGTAAAGGGTGAAGAGTTTGTTCACTTCTCCAATCTATCTAGGTGTAAGAAGTTTCTGTATAAACAAATCTCCCGCTATGGCTTTTGTATTCTAGCAGCAGCTGCTGAATACCCAGACGTTGCCTGCGTCTGAATGGCTGACTGCAGTCACTGTTTGGATAAACGTCTTTGGACCAGCTCCGTGAACAAAAGTTAATTGTCAACCAAACTTGTTAAGCGGAGGAGTGCCAGCAGGGCCACCTACAGCTCAGACTTCAGCAGATTCATCAGGGACCAGCAGAAATCTGCTCCACGTATGGCCATTGTAAAGTGATACTAAACTCAGGAGTTAAATCATAAAAATGTATTCAAGTACCTGACCTAATAACAAAAATGTATCTTATTTGTGTATCACTCGGCTGTAGATCCTCAAATCATCTCTGAATTTGGTGCAGACACTCGTCCATTCTGGAGGGGGCTACGTTTCTTCCCCATGGTCCCTGTGTGTGTTGTAAAGTAGTCACCACTCCAAGCTCACTCCTGTGATAGACTACAATCTCATATTTAGTTTACTAATTTGTATTGAGATTGTAGTCCATCACAGGAGTGAGCTTGGAGCGGTGACTACTTTACAACATACACGGGGAGCAAAAGTAGCCCCCCTCCAGAACGAAAGGACAGTGTCAGCACCAAATTCAGAGATGATTTGAGGGTCTACAGCCGAGTGAGACACAAATAAGATACATTTTTGTTCATAGTTAGGGGACTTGATTTGTCTTTTTATGGTTTAACTTCTGAGTTTAGCGTCACTCTAAGGCCGGCCATATACTGGTCTTTAGTGTCGCTCTAAGGCCGACCATATACTGGTCTTTAGTGTCGCTCTAAGGCCCCATTCACACTGAGCGACATGAAAATCGCGCGATTTTATATGTGCGATATTGTGCGATTTGTTCCTATTGGGCTGTATGCAATCAGGAGCAAAATCGCTTGAAATCCACAGAAAAAAGGGTCATGTAGGATTTCACTGATCTATTTTTCTCATTCAACCCGTGTGCTGCGTGTCAGCTTGTCGATCGAGGAATCCCGCTGTTTGTATTGCATTTTGACAGTGGCCGGTCAGAATACCCGAGCAGGGCCAGCAGCTCATTGGCTCTGATCGTACAAAGATTTTCCGGCCGGCTCCTTTGATCAGTTGATCGAGATATGCCGAGCGAAAGGGTGTCGACAGCCCCACACACTGCGAATTTCAGCCAGTTGTGCAAAAACCGGCCAAAATTTAACCCCTTCATGACTGAGGCCTTTTTTTCATTTTTTGACAGGTGTATTGGCGTGCAATGGTGGAATAGTTGTGTGGGGGTGCCACTTGTGGAACAGGAGTACAGGGGTGCTGTGGTGGAATAGGTACATACGTCGTCAGTCACGAAGGGGTTAAACAGTGTATGAGCACCCCAAATCTAGGGGTAGAGGAGTAAGTCCGGTCATACACGAATAGATTTCTTCAATCTCCCGATGCAGAATTTGTATTCTGACAGCGGCTGCTGAATACCTGGACACTGTTTAGATGACAATTTTTTTCCGGGCCAGCTCCTTTGACGAAAGTCAATTGAAAACCCAACTTGTTGAGCAGAGGGGTGCCAGCGGGGCCACCTACAGCTTGAATTTCAGCCAATTAATCAGGAACCAGCAGAAATCTGTTCCACGTATGGCCATCTTAAGCTGTAATGTTTTTTTTTTTAATTAAATAGTTTTTATTAAAAGTTTTATACAAATTACAGTAACAAGGCGCATCAGAAAAGAGATGCAAACTAAACTGTAATGTTTACTCAATGCCATGCTCCATCAGGTGTCCACCTCCTTCCTCTCCTCTCCCGGCGCGGAGTATATTCCTTTCACATACCATACTGGAATCAGCCGTATGGTTAAAAGCAGAGCTGGACAAATCCCAGGAGCCAGGGAAATTATAGCTGCAGCCTAACTTTTGGGGTTTTCTCTAATTGTTGTCAATGGAACTGGCTCCCGGATAGGACAGGCTGGCTCCCGGATAGGACAGGCTCGCTCCTGACTTCATTTGAATTTCTCCAGCACTGATTTAAAAGGGAGCTGCAACCATCCCTGACCGGTCACTGTGTATAACATGAATACAATATGTCATCAGCTATCATCTGATCAGGCATTCTGCATTCATTGCTGTATAATTTTACACTTTTCATTTCACTATATTGCACACCACACTTTTTTTTTTCTTCTTATTTACTTCCACCGCTCCAAGCTTGCTCCTGTGATGGACTACAATCTCAATACAAACTAGTAGTCCCATCACTGGAGCCATTTTTTAAAATGTATTTTATTTTATTTTTTAACCGATTAATCGAACGTAATAATCGGCTAACTAATCGATTTTGAAAATAATCGTTAGCTGCAGCTTTACAGTGTATAATGTATTGCTGATGGTATATTGCTCTGTATAATATACAGCAGAATGTACCATCAGCTATAATAGTTGTTGCAGCCCTATCTTCTATTGTTTCTGATTTTGTAGTGATGCGACAGGGGTGGGGAGTGTCAGTACGATGTACAGAGACCGCGGCTTCAACGCAAGGAGCAGAAGTTTTTAGCTGCATGCTCCTGCCAGCCATGGCAGTTTTTTAATGGGAGGGGAGAAACGGGGAAAACATGTGAAGACTAGGGATGCACCGATGCTGAGACCAAGTATTTGGGCAAGTACTCGTACTCGTCCAAGACATCGCTCTCCTGGATCTGCCCACGTCTCCTGTGTGTACAGCGCCAGCACCGCCTGTTTGATGCTGTTAGAGGATTTCAGAATGAGAGCAATGGGCAATCTGCGCAGTAGCAGGCTGAGGGCCGATCACGCGGGCATTGTACACACAGGGGACTGCAGTTAATGACTCTGGCTCTAGAAGGAAAAAAGACTGCTACAGGTATGCCTCAGAAAGCCTGCAGATATGGCAGAATGGACATCCATTCTGATAGTCAAAGCTTTGAAACCTCTGGGCCGTGTATGAAGGTCTGAGTTACTCGCCAAAGGGAATGATAGGAGGTGGAAATAGTTGGGAAAACCTCCAGCACTATGAGGAAGTACCATATCTTTTCTTGTTGAAATGGCAATGCATTCAGCCGTATCTGCACGCTTTATAAAGCTGCTGCATGTGCCTTCCATCCCTACACATTATACCTGCAGCAGTACCGCCTGGTCCAGTACTATCTCTGTGACTGTGACTGGAAAATGAGAGAGCAGAAGCACCATGATCTCTGTGATCTCTCATCCCATGGTCACAGACACCACTGTGTATTGCAATAGATCAGTCATGGTGAATCTTTTTGAGCCCGAGTGCCCAAGCTGTATCACTAAACCAACTTATCTATCTCAAACTGTCAACCCGGCAATTGCAACCTCTGCAGGCTCTTTGGTGGTCTGTACAGGCTCTCGGGGGCGCTGTGAGGCTCTGAGGCGGTTTGTACGGGCTCTCAGGGGCTTTACGAGCTGTTACGCGGTCTGTACGGGCTCTCAGGGGTGCTATGTGGGCTCTTGGGTGGTCTATAAGGGCCGAGAGGCCCCAGTGAGTGATATGTAATATGCCTAATTAGAGGCTGCTGCTGCCTGATTGGGGCTAGCCCAGATCGCATAACGAAGCGATCCAGGACAGTCGGGCATATCTTTAGGAGCCATATGTTAATCCAAACCTAGGCTCGCATGGCAGCAGAGAGGCCCCGCTTTCCATAGGTTCCCCACCACTGCAATAGATCATGCCTGACTCATAGTGCTGAACCCCCAGCACTACTCTGAGGGCCCATTTACACTGGATTCATTGCATTGTGATACATTTTTTCAACAGATGCTGATGGAAGGGCACCGCAAAAGGAATGGGCGTGAATGGGGCTCGTTCACACTGCATCTATTATGTTGTGTGAAAAAAAAGGAGAACATGCACTACTTTTTTTTTTGCAATGTAATGCAAACGTTCCGGCATTGTTCGGTGCCCTCCTGTTAGCATCCCTTGGAAAACAGATCACAATGGATCCAAAGGAAATCGGAAGGTACATTTGCAAGTCATCGAACCCTCCGTTGCATTGTGATTTCTTTCCGATTTTGGTGTGAATGCACCCCAATTGTTGCTGTCCAGGGGGAATACATGAGGCTGATATCAAGACAGGTTCAAGTACTTATGTTAGCTGTATTTTAAAGTGCATTGAGGGCTAAAACACACCTTTGTGATAACACGCACATACAATGCATGCTGTGTGTTTTAGCCTG